ATAGATAGATAGATAGATAGATAGATAGATAGATAGATAGATAGATAGATAGATAGATAGATAGATGATGGATGGATGGATGATGGATGATAGATGGATGGATGGATGATGGATGGATGGATGATGGCTGGATGATAGATGGATGGATGGCTGGATGGATGGATGATGGATGATGGATGGATGGATGATGGATGATAGATGGATGGATGGATGATGGATGGATGGATGATAGATGGATGGATGGATGGATGGATAGATAGATAGATAGATAGATAGATAGATAGATAGATAGATAGATAGATAGATAGATAGATAGATAGATAGATAGATAGATAGATAGATAGATAACAATCAATGTTTGAGATGCTACCTATACAAAGTATATGTAGATACTGGATCCCAATCCTTTTGTTCGATAGTTGTTAGCAGATGCTTTAAGCAGCGGTTGGCTTTGATTCATGATGTAAAACCAACTAGAAGGTCATTTGTTCCTCCTGCAGTACCACAGTAAATGTAAAAACAAATATTCCTTTCATTCCTGGTGTGGATGATTGTGTTTTGAGATTGGCTTCAGTTTTTCGTTACACTCTAGTGTGTGAATGATCTGAAAACTCACTGAACTGCAGCCTGTATGTAGAAGGTGAACGCTTTAAACTTTCTCTTCACGTTTATCTGTCCTGAAGCTGCGAGAAGAGACGATGAGATGAGACGTGACACCGGGGGTATGATGGGATGCGCAGGAGAGAAATGATCTGCACAAACTACTGTGGTGGCATCATTGTACAATTATGGTATAAGATGGGAATAACATGGTACTTTAATACTGTGGAACTTTAGAGAAGGTTTTCTTAGTATTTTTGTCTTGTTTTGCAGTACAAACATCTAAACATTCTTAATTCAATATACATTAGCTTAAGAAGCAAAATGATTTAAGATATTAAGTCTTGTTTTCTGAGAAACTGACCAAAATTAAGTTTATGCTTAAAAAATGAAGAAAAAACTTAATTTAATACAAAAAAGCAAGCTAATTTTTCTGACACCATTGGCTGATATTTTTTCATGTTTTTAAGCATAAACTCAATTTTGATCAATTTCTCAGAAAACAAGACTTAATATCATTTGTCATTTTGCATCTTGATTTAAGAATCTTTAGATGTTTGTACTGCAAAACAAGACAAAAATACTATTATGTATTTATATAGTGTATTATTTATGCATGAATGCTTAGAAAGAAGCACATTATCATGATTTCATGTCCTAAAAAAGCTTTTTGTTTTCCTTTGTGGATTAAAAGCAAATCAAATCACCAAAAGCAAACTAAGGAGTTTCAGGAAAATCAGAAGTGATGAGAGTGTTTGTGCTCTTCTGCTGTTGACATCGTTTATTGTTCCGCGTGAAAATACGCATTTTAAAATCGATGGTGACAGAGATGAAGTGACGGCGTTTCGGTGAACGAGCGGGAAACATGAACGGATGAGGGTTTAATGTCCTAATGACGCTCATAAATAACAGTTAACAGACAGGCCATGCACACACACACACCACAGCATCTGACGGCTCAATTAGACGAGCAATCAAATCAGATCCATCAGTGCAGGACAGAGAGCATGAGATTCAATAGACGACAGCACTGACACCAGAGCAGCACACACACACGCACACACACACACACACATACACATAAACACACACACACACACATACACACACACACACACACACACATACACACACACACACACACATCCACATACACACATAAACACACACACACACACACATACACATACACATACACACACATACTCCCACACACACACACATGTTGTGTTTCCATGTTTTATGGGGACATTTCATAGGCTTAATGGTTTTATAAGCTTGTTTCCTCACGGGGACCTCAAAAATGTCCCCACAAGGTCAACATTTACTAGTATTACTATCCTTGTGGGGACATTTGGTCCCCATAATGTGATAAATACCAGGTACACACACACACAC